AGCTTCTCTCCAAGAGGAGTTGGGGGTAGATTAGCTACAACCAGGGCCGATGAGAGTGGGGGGAAGCCGGTACAAATTACTGGGGCCCAGCGGTCCGGAAGGGGGCCCGGGGCCTGGCTTTGTCAGCCCTGTTTAGCCGGTCCGCTCTTGCTGGGGGGCCCGAAAAATTTTTTTCACCGGGGCCCAAACCCGCTCTCGGCGGCCCTGGCTACAGCTGTCCGAGCTGTCTGAAGGGAGGGGGGTGGCGGCTGTGTGGAGGGAGCTGGGATACCAGTGACCATCCCACCCCCAGATCTGTGGGCAGCAGATGGAACATACCCTCCCGTCCCACTGTGTCAGGTATCCGGCCAGGCCGGGAGCGCTGGGTTTGTATGTGTTTATTGGACACTAGCCTTGATTAGCTGCTGCGGGTGGGGACAGCCGTTGAATTATGGATGAGACGTGAGGGTGATGAATTTTGCATGGCTGGCTCAGGCGCTTGGATGCTGAGGGAGTGAAACGGGAGACTCCGCGCTACCAGGCCCTGGGGCTTTGCTGGGGATCCTGGCTGGAGAGCTGAAATCTCACTGCAGGGGGAGAAAGAGAAGTGGGTTTGTGGGGGGTGGGGAGAAGAAGGACCTATGCTAAGCTAGGGAAAGAGTCCAGGACCATGCAAAGAAGCAGCCTGATTGTCCCTGTGTGTCTCGCCCAAAACGTCTTCGTGCAGACCTGGAGCGCTCTGCTTGCCACTGAAAGGCGGCCAGCTCTGGGGTGGAGTGCAGCAGGTGTTTCACAGCACGCAGCAATGTACTGCAGGCATTTAGGACAAGGGGCAAAGAAGGATCCAACTGCCAGGACAAAGGGGGAGGTGGGGATGTAAAGAGAACCCCCGGGCACCCGGCAGGCCCTGTCACTTGTTCTGAGCAGGGGTGCTGGGTCCCAGTGATGCTGTCTCCAATCCTGCGCCTGACTTTGGGCTGACCCCCAGGCGCTCTCCTGCCCCAGGGGTCGGGTTGCTCAGTAGCGTTCTCCTCATTCAACAGCTGGGCTGTGACGCCGCTCCCCAGAGACGCAGAGGCCACCGTTGTCTAAAAGCAGCTCCTGGCTTTTGGCTGTCCGGGGCGGGGGGTGCCTGGCGAAGTGCCAGGTGAAGCCAGCAGGAGCCGGGTGCCTGGGGCGGCTTTTGATACTGCCGGTGACTTGTCCCAGCTTGCACGGCAAGTGGGTGGCAGGGCCCCAGGCCCCCCTGACTCCCCGTCCACTGCTCCACGGGCCAGCCCCATAGTCCCTTCCCAGAGCCAGGAACAGAATCCAGGCCCCCTGCGGCGTGCTTCTCTAACCACTAGCTCATGCTCCCTCTAGGGTAAGAAGGGCAGACCCTGGGGGCTCCTATAGGCATGGAGACAGGGCCCCCCTTGGGGGTGGGGGGGTAGAGGGGACTTTGGGGCGGGGCCGAGCCAGCCCCCCAATTGAAGAGGCCAGAGGAGAGTGGCAGGATGAACCCCCCCGTCTTTCCAGCCTGCCTCCTCCCTCTGGGCATAGGCCAGCGGTGCCCCCTACGCACACCCGTCTGGCTTCTGATATCCTGGGCTCTCCCGCCGTGGCGGCTCCTGCGGGGTATCGCGATGCGCTAGGGGCAGGGTGAGGATGCGGGCGGGGTGGCACCGAGCCAGGCAGTGTCAGTAATCCCGAGCCCAGATTAGATTCCGCTCGCTCCTGGGAAGGCAATCCCCTCCTGCCAGCCCCGGCAGCTGTCAGCCAGCGCTCTGCCTGCCCAAGGGACCAGGACGCGGGGGGCTGGGCCCCAGGCTGCCGTCGAGTCGGGCCTGACTTCCAAGGTACGTCCAGGTCCCTGGCCATCGGGGCGGCCGGGGGTGAGCGTCTCTGGCATTTGCTGCCTTTCGAGTCAGCCAGCTGCTCACCCCTTCGCTCTGGGTGCCCTGGCCAGGCTGCAGCGATGGCACAGCCCACCCGGGAAGGGTCAGCTTCCCTTGGCTTCTCCGGACGCGATCGGGAATGGTGGAGAGGGGGGTGTGTGTGTGTGTGTGTCTCCCCTTCCCCGCCTCCCAGGGGCTGCCTGGACAGACAGATCTTTGCTTCCTCTAGGGAGGGGCTGCCCCTCACTGTGAACCCCCAAAGGCCATGCTGGGGGTACAGCTGGGTTAGAAGTGTGGATCTCAATGCCCCACCTTCTTGGGCTCATGCTCATGCTTAGCAGGTGAACGCCATGGAGCAGGGATCCGTGCGATAGGATCAGCCGGGACTGTCCCTCACCCCACGGACTGCGGGGGGTGGGGGGCTGGGGCACCTCTGAGCGACGCAGGGGGAGTGTGCTTCCAAGGGAGGCCGGGCTAGAACTGAGGTTGCTCTGGACCCTCGGGCAGGTGGTTTTGAGTCGAGCTGGCGAATACGGAATTTTTCAGTTGCTGGCAGCACTGAAAAATGGAGGGGGGGGACGGGACGGAAAACACTGATTTAAAAAAAAAAAAAAAATTCCAGCCAATCAAAAAGTCAGAAAAATGTTGTTTGGTTCGACCCCCAGTGAGACGTCTCATGGGGGTGTTTGTAATCAAAGCCAAGGGAAGGAAGCGCTCGATTCACACCCGCTGCTCTGCTGCCGCTACCTTCCTTAGGACCAGGCTGGGGACGGTTTGATTTTTTTTTTTTTTTTTTAAACCAGGAAATGTGGATAAATGTCCGTGTCGCTGGGCGCACACAAGCCGGCGGAAATCTATTTCTATGGCTAAGAATCAAAACGCCCAGAGAGGCAGAGTGAGAAAAATGCAGCTTGGGGCCGCCTTAGAGTTTGCTTTTCCAGCTATTCCCCTGGTCTATTGCCGTGTGCTGCTGTCAGTTTGTGTTTGAAGGGTTACAAAGCTGGAATCTCAAGGTCTGTTGTCATTACATAAGGACTGTCTGACCCCCCCCCCCCCCCCCCCCCCCGCCTCCATTATTCCTGGCAACTGTCAATCAAAATAGCGATGGGGTGCGATTCTCTAGCCCAGGGCTTGTGACCTCCCTCTCAGACGTGGGTGTCCTCTGAGTTCCAGCCCCAGCTCCACCTTGGGGATTCAAACCTGGGTCTCCTGTGCCCTGAGTGAGTGCCCCAGCTGCTGGGCTAAGGATTAAAATGGGGGCGGTGTAGGGTGACCAGATGTCCCGATTTTATAGGGACAGTGCCGATTTTGGGGTCTTTTTCTTATATAGGCTCCTATTACCCCTGCCCCCCTGTCCTGATTTTTCACATTTGCTGTCTGGTCACCCTAGGGTGGTGGCACCGCCCCAGCTCCTGTCTGGCGAATCTAGGAAACGTTTCGTTTTGATGACGTCGAAACGAACCCTTTGGACCTATCTGGAAACATCCGTTTTCGTTTTGGCTGAAACCGTTCCCCCTTGCCCCAAATTCGTGAAACGTTTCAGTCGCCCTGAATCTGCCTTTTTCGGCAGAAGTCTTGGCCCAAAATTTTTGCCCCGGCTCTAGTTATGATACGGGCTATAGCTACAGGACCATGTGGTCACTTTTTTCCCCACTGGACCATTCAGTGCACAGGGTGGACGGTTGCAAGGGGAACCTTAATGCTGCTTTTGCCAAACGGTCTGAGTGCTTGACTTTGCGACCTGAATGACATTCCCATAATGTAGATTTTTTTTTTTTTTTTGTATGTAATTTCCTCGTTTTTTAAGAAGGAAAAACCAGAGTGTGGGCCTCTGTAATGCACATTCTCCAGCACTGGCTGCAGGATTTGAATCCAGGACCACAGGACTCTGCCGCTTGAGGTAAGGATTAATTACGCTAGCTGGCCGCAGGAGTAGAGGGAAGGTGGCAGGGGAGGGTTATTCCGTGTGGCTAGAGGGATGGGAGCAGGGCTAGTTTTTTGTTCCCTCCCCACAAGCCCCCAGGCAGGCTGTGCAGATGTAGGGCTTTGGGCACCCTCCTTGCTGACTCTGGGTGCCAGGGGAGAGCTAGCCACCTCCATCCCCATGAAACACGTCTGTGGCTCTGCCCGGAGCATGCCTCTCTAGCCTTGCAGACCTGGAACCCAGGGGTCTAGAACCCAACCCGGAGTATGGCCTGGTCCTGTCCCCAGCCTGCACGGCACTCAGGGACTAGAACTCCAGCCCCCTGCCTATGGGGGACCAGTCCGTCTTCCCCCAGTCTCTGGGATGAGTGTCCCAAACAGGGTAACGCTTTGAACCGGCAGCTGGCTGGCTGGATGTAATTGCTGCCGATCTGCTGCGGGTTGCCTAAAAGCAGGAGGGCTGGGGCTGCCCTAGGGCAACTGGCCTGGCTGTGAGACCTCCTGGTGGGCAGGGGCCAGGGGGCAGTGCTGAGCCGTGGGGAGAGCACCTGTCAAGAGGAGGACACAGGCCGGATGGGAAGCTGGTTGTGAGCCGGAGCTGGGGTGGGAAGTGCCCCCAACCCCCACCAGTGCAGATCAGATTTCCACCCCCAGATCCTGGCATGCTCATCCCCTGCCCCGCTAGGGCGACCAGATGTCCCGTTTTTATAGGGACAGTCCCGTTTTTGGGGACTTTTTCTTATATAGGCGCCTATTACCCCCCCACCCCCTGTCCCGTTATTTCACAGTTGCTATCTGGTCACCCTGCGCCCCCGCTGCTGCCAGCACACAGGGGCATTTCCCCAGGGCAGCAGCTGATGCCACCAGCCCTAAACTGCCCCCCATTGCAAGCCCCAGTGTAGGGGGCATGCCGGGGGGGGGGGGGGGGGGGGGGGGGCCCCCCACAGCGTACGCTGCTACCGAGATTTCAGGCTGGGGCATGCTGGGGAGCAGTCTGATTTACACCGGGATCTGCTTCACCCCTGAATTCAGCCAGGGCACAGGTGGCCTTCAAGCTCCTGCCACGGCCCCGCACCTACCACTGTCCCAAGACAGGAGCATGTCTGTCTGTCTGTCTCTGTCTGTCTCTCTGCTGGCTGGAATGGGCAGCCCTGGGGGCAGCTTGGGTAACCCCTTAACAGCTGCTCTCACCCCTCCTCTGCCCAGCGGACCTAGCGCAAGGCAAAAGCTGTGGCCCCGCTGGCGAAGCGAAGGGCTGGCCGGCAGGGCTGGAAAGAAGAGCCCGGGAGGTCCTCCCCCAGCCCGAGCACCTATCCGAGCCGTTCCCTCCCCGCTGGATCGTTCAGGTTCCGTCTCCTGCTTTGTCCTGGAAGGAGAGAGGCCAAGAAAGCTCTGGACTCGTCACTCAACAAAGGACTCTTTGTGACAGCCTCCTCCAAGGAAACCTGACCTCCCTCCCCGTCCGTGGGGCGGAAAGCGATCCGGACGGGGCCACTGGCTCGGCTGGGCCCTCTCTCCTTCCGTCGGCGCCGGGGCTCTGCTCTATGTGGGCCAGTCTGCTCCGCAGCCTGCCTCCGTGATGCCGCCCTTCTTCCTGGCTCTCCTGCTTTGGGTGCAGGCGGCAAGAGCCGCCAAGGCCTGTCCTCACCTGTGCGTCTGCTACGAATCCTCGGATTTCGTGGACTGCCGTGGCCGGCGCCTGGCCCACGTCCCCCGCGGCATCCCGCATAGCACGTGGCTCCTGGATCTGAGGCACAACAACCTGACCAGCCTGGAGGCGGGCTCCTTCGACGCCCTGTGGTCTATGAAGATCTTGCTCCTGGCCCACAACTCCGTCGGCCAGCTCTGGCCCAAGGCCTTCGCGTGCCTGGGCTTCCTGGAGAAGATAGACCTCAGCCACAACCTCCTGGCCCAGCTGCCTCCTGACTTCTCCGATGAACTGGCCTCCCTGAAGGAGCTCAAGGCGGCCTACAACCGGCTGTCGGCCGTGGGCTATGAGAGCCTGCAGCACCTGGAGAGCCTGGAGAAGCTGGACCTGAGCTACAACCAAGTGGCTTCCATTGAGAAGGGGGCCTTTCGGGGCCTGTCCAGGCTTCGCTACCTCTACCTCCAGTCCAACCGTCTGGGGATTGTCCACAACGGCTTCTTCTCCATGCTCCAGAACCTGGAAGTCCTCTTCCTTGGCACCAACAACATCAGCGCCATCGAGCTGGAGGCCTTCACCTCCTTGCACAACGTCAACCTCCTGGCTTTGACCGGCAACCAGCTCATCCACCTCAAATTCAAGACCTTCCTGAACATCCAGACGCCCAGCACCCACCTCCAGCTCGCCGGCAACCCCTGGGCCTGCGACTGTGACCTCCAGCGGGTCTTCAGCAAGATCCTGAGCGTCCGCCACCTCCACGTGGAAGACTACGCCAATATCACCTGTGCCAGTCCCTGGCAGCTGGCCGGCTTGCCTCTGGTTTCTGTGGATGCCCAGCTGTGCGTGGCCGAGACGGCCACCGTCCTGGTGATCACGGTCACCGTCCTGGTGACCGTCATTGCCGCCATCGTCATGGCGGAGAGGAACAGGAAGAAGAGCCAGGAGAAGAACTGGAACGAGTCCGACGGCCCCTTCGACCCGCAGGAGAAGTGAGATGAGGGGTGGGAAAGCTAGTGCCTGGTGCGTGAGAAGCAGCCGCTTCCTTTTGAGCTCTCCTGGATCCGCGCTGACTGGCCCTATTCCTAGCTCCGCGGGACCCAAGCCCGGATGCCTGGTGTGGGGACCAGAGCCGCCCTGCCCAGAGACTTGGCTGCTGCACTCACCCCAGGGGGCTCCCGCTCGGTCCCATCTTGGGCCAGGTCCCCCTTCCTTTCACCTGCTCATCGCCACCAGGTTCTGTGAGCCAACGGCTGCCCTGCCACGCCCCTGCACCCACCTCCCCGGCCTTCAAACCCTCCCTCGGGCACCCCGCCCCACACACACGCTGGCCTTTAACAGCTGCCCTCAGTGACGCCTCTCCTGCCCCCTGCTGGCGTGTGGGGTGATTGCACAGATGTAGCCAACTGGAATGTGGTGAAGAGGGGGAGGGAGGGAATCTCAACCCTCCCCCCCGCTGACGGGAGGGAAAAGGGAACAGTGCTCTGGTTTTGCCCCTCAACTCAGCAGTTCTGGCTCCGTGAGCCCTCGCAGCCCTCCCCTACGAGGCTGGGATTACCCCTGCCTTACAGCTGGGGAAACTGAGGCACAGCGCTTCAGTCAAGGTCAGTGCAGCGAGCTGGGAATGGAACGTGGGGGTCCTGACGCTCGATCCCGCCGTTCTCAGCCCCTCCTCTGCTCTGAGCTGGCCTGTTGGAGTTTGGGGGCAGTGTTGCCTTGTGGGAAGAGCTGGTTTAGGGGCAGCTGGGGCTTCCCTTAGCTGCTCCCTCCAGAGGCCAGTGCAGTGGGTGGGGAGCTGCTAGGCAGAGCTGGTTGTCTGCTCCGTGAGTGAAACCTCTTGGGCTGGTGGGGGGCCCCTGACTCAGTGGCCGGGAGGAACCATAAGATTCCACCCACCTGCTCCACATCGATCCAGAGGCCAGGGCTGCCTGGGGGAAGCTTGCCTAGGAAGCTGCTATCCGGAGCCTCTGCCTAGCCCTCAGCCCTCCTCCCACCTGGCCCAGCAGTGCTACGAGCCATGCTCTCAAACACAAGGCCCTCGCTGTGCATTCACCCCCCCGGCCAGTCCCGGACCCAGCCGCGCAGCTCCGAAAAAGGCCGCAGCTCTGGATTAGCCAGCCGGAGGGCGAGCGCCTGGAGAGCGGGGCTGCGTCCAGCCCCGCCAGGAGGCCCGAGCGCCTCCTGGAGGGAGAAGGAGAGTGGGGATTAGGTCAGGTTTGGTGTCACAGATGGGCCAGGCAGCTCTCCTTGGGGGGCAGGTCCTTTGGCCATGGGATTTTACAATTTGTGGGGCATGAATGATTTGGCAGGGAATGTGGGAGCAGCAGGACAGGATGGGGAGGCAGGCTGGAGGAGGGATTGTGAGACCTGAGAACGTTCAGTGGTTTATCCCAGCTAAGGGCCCGATCCTGCGAGGTGCTGCCTGCCTGGGGCTTCCCCCAATGAGGGGGCCTCTGCATCTTACAGGATCAGGCCCTGAATCGCCTTCCCGTCAGGCCCCTACTAAACACAGCCAGAGAGCAGTGCTGTGTTTTGAGCCGGTCCCAAAGCTCATGTCTGTCAGCAGCTCTTCGAGCTGGGGCGGGGGCAAATCCCCTGTGAAGTCATCTACTGGGAAACCTTTGTGTCGAGGGTTTCCTGGCTGCTAAGATAATTAACGCTGCTCTTCCCGATGGTAGCCTTGTACGGCCGCCAGGCTGCAGAATCCTGTCGTGGAAAAGAAATAAAATCTGGTTTTCCTGGGTGTGTGTGCGTTATTTACTGTGTGTAGCGCACTAGGCCAAGGCGCCCCCAACGCTGGAGCAGGGCCCCCTCGTTCTGTGTGTACAGCACCGAGCACGGAGAGACGGCCCCTGCCCCAGGGAGCTTCCAGGCTCAGGGACGTTGGTTGGCAGCGTTTTCCACTGGTCTCTCCAAACTCTCTTGCCTCTTGGTCCCCCCACCAGGGTAGGAACAGAAAGGTAGCACGGCTCAGCCTGCGGGGTGAACTGAGACCTGCGTTCTGTTCCCTGCTCTGCTACTGGCCTCTTGGGTCACTTTCCCTCTCTTGCTCAGTTTCCCTATCTGTAAAATGGGGGTAAGGGCCCTGGCTTCCTTTCTAAAAGGCTGTGAGACCTGTTTTTGGAAAGGTATTGTTATCTGAGCACCTCTTAAGTGGTTTTGGATTTATCTCCACCGTGGCCAGGTGAAATCTCATCCCCATTTTACAGCCAGGAAACTGAAGGCAAGGGCCACATTTTCCAACGCACTCAACAGGATGGGTGTTGGACACACACGTCCCCATGCCGCTGTGCTTCTAAAAACCTGACCACAGTTAGGGGTGGTGACCTCTTGAAAGCCTGAGCAAGGTCATGCAGGAAATTTGTGACCCAGCTGGGCTGTGAACCCAGATTTTCCAGCCCAGTGCCATCTCCACAAGCCCAGCCTTCCTCTAGCACAGTCGTGGGTAAACTACGGCCCGCAGGACCATCCTGCCTGGCCGGGGAGCCTAGTCCCAGGCCCCTCCTCTGCTGTCCCCCCTCCCCCATAGCCACCCCACTACATGGGCCGCCCTCTGGTCCGCTGCTCCCCCTGGGCAGCGTGGGGAGCGCAGCTGGCTCCGGCTGGGGGTCGCGGCTGCGAGCTCCTGCTGCTGGTAAGGGGGTGGGGAGTGGGGGGTTGGGTAAGGGAGCGGGGGGTCCTGGGGGGCAGTCAAGGTGGAGGTTCTGGGGGGGCAGTCAAGGGATGGGGAACAGGGAGGGTTGGGAATGGGAGTCCCGGGGGGGCCTGTCAGGGGGCAGGGATGTGGATGGGGTCGGGAGGGCAGACAGGGAGCAGGGGCGGTGGGATCCCAGGGGGAAGTTATGGGTGGGGGATGAGGAGCAGAGGGTGGTTGGATAGGGGGTGGGAGTCCCAGGGGAGCTGTCAGGAGTCAGGGGTGTGGATAGGGGTCAAGGGACAGGGAGCAGGGCCGTCCCAGGAGGGGGCGGTCAGGGGACAAGGAATGGGGGGGGGTCAGGGGCTCTGAAGGGGGCAGTCAGGGGGTAGGGAGGGGGAGGGGGCAGGGGCCAGGCTGTTTGGGGAGGCACAGCCTTCCCTACCCCGCCCTCCATACAGTTGCACAACCCCGATGTGGCCCTCGGGCCAAAAAGTTTTCCCACCCCTGCTCTAGCCAGTCCCTCTCCGGTTCGCTCCTTGTTGGGACACCCTTGTCTTTGTGGAGTACAGTCTGAATGCCCTGCACAGGGCACCCCCCCCCCCCCAATGGCAACGGGAACTGAGAACTGGTAAGACACCCAGAATGAGTTCAAGTACAAGTCAAAGCTAGGCAACCCTAATTCTCCTAACCTATCTGCCCTTTGAAAATGTCCTGGCTGGAGCTTGGGCCGTAAGAGCAGGCTCCGTATGGAGCCCATGGGGGACTCCACTTGTTAGCAGGGAGAGTATTGAACTCAGCAGAACTACTCCTGCGTGTAAAGTTACACGCCTGCGTAACGCGCGCTTGCGGCTCAGGTAAGTAGCTGGGTTCTTCCAAAGAGCCGTACGTGTTGCGTGCTGGGCTGCTTGGAAAACCCAGCTGTAAGCATCACTTCTGCAAATCTAATGCTTATTTCGGTGCCCATGTGAGGGCTGTTACGTGGACCAGCACCAGGAGGACTGAACCAGGACCTCCAGGGCTAAAAGTAGGAGCTGGTACAGCTGGAGCTAGCTTTGATAACTGGTGCCTGTAACAGGCTTGTTCTCTGTGGGTCAGCACCGAGGGGGAATCTATAATATACAGACATGGGTGCTGAGCCCTTGGAAATCTGGCTGTTAGTCCAACAGCTGTGACACTGCTGAAGAGTAGGGGAAATTTGGCTCATCACAAATCCAGGGCCCGGATTGAAATGTCCTTGAACAGAAGATCATTGGTTCCCCCATCCCTCTACCCCCTCATCCCCAATCTAAGCGAGTTCAGATATTATCTGCTGGCATCGCAGCAAACTCTGTGTCCTAAAGCTGGATTTACTGCGTTTGCAGACACCACACACTAAGGGCAGGAAGCCAGCATCCCATAATCCCACATTTTTAATTAATCCCCCATCACGCTGGAATTCACCAGCTGTAGGAGCAAAATGTAACGTGTTCTTGGCAGGCCTCAGCTCTGTTTCGGTCCATCTGGGGTCGCCCAGACTGCGAAGGGAGACAGAGAGGTGAATTCTCCCACGGAACCATCTAAAATGATGGTCAAAGCTGCAGGCACCAGGCTGACGCGTGAGAGCCCAGGCCCAGGTTTTATTAACCGACTATCAGCTAGAAATACGGGGAGCGCTCCTAGGGCGTTACAGCTGGGTGGGGACTGAGAGCTGTGACTCCTGGAGTCTGAGCCCCTCTTGGAAGGGGCTGGGGTCTAGGGGGTGGGGATTGGGAGGCAGGACCCCTGGGTTCTGTTCCCTCTTGTGGGAGGGGAGCGGTGGCGGGTGGTTGGGGGAGGGACTAAGTCAGGACTCCTGGATTTGATCCCAGCCCTTGGCAGGGAATAGGGAAGGAGGTTAG